TCTGCAGCCAGGACTCTCTATGTGCTTTGATAACATGAACAAATACTGATCCCAGGCCCGGCCAGACAGCATACATTTTGAATGGTCTTTCAAGTTGCTTCCTTGAGTAGGGAAGTACTCATTAGTTCCAAAAGAACTGTTGGCTGACATTTCTCCTGGTCAGCAAAGGAACTCATTTTAGTTTCACCTGAAGAGAAATTCCATGCAGAAGATGCTTCCACTTGATATGAGTTTTCCTGAAGTTCCATGGCATGCATTTCTATAAGATGTTATTACTACAGGAACTTTTTCAAATGAATGATGTTTGTGTCCTTGGATGATGCTACGAACTCACTTCAGAGGGCAGTTGGGTGGAGATGTCACACAGTCATTCATAAGCAGGTGATTCAGCCCACAGGAGTGCTGGCTCCAAATGCCACAGGATTGCTCCCTGACTATTTTGCCTTGAGTTTTGGCCTTTCCCTCTGTTCTGACAGAGGCAGAAGGAAATAATTAACAAAAGAGGGCATCAGTCTTCTTTCTAGAAGACAATTTTTTTTTCTGGTTGGACAATTAGCATCCAACTATTATATAAACTGCATTTATAGCCGGGCGCAGTGGCTCACGCTTGTAATCCCAGCACTTTGAGAGGCCGAGGAGGGTGGATCACGAGGTCAAGAGATCAAGACCATCCTGGTCAACATGGTGAAACTCCGTCTCTACTAAAAATACAAAAAATTAGCTGGGCACGGTGGCGCATGCCTGTAATCCCAGCTACTCAGGAGGCTGAGGCAGGAGAATTGCCTGAACCCAGGAGGCGGAGGTTGCGGTGAGCCGAGATTGCGCCATTGCACTCCAGCCTGGGTAACAAGAGCGAAACTCCGTCTCAAAAAATAAAAATAAAAATAAATAAACTGCATTTATAAAACATGCAACACTTCCAGAAATAACCAACTTCACAAAAATAAAACTCATGCCTACCATTTCCGGTCTTCAACTAGTTTCCAGGTTTGTTTTCTTTCAGCTAAGTATTTGATCTCTTTTGTCTCACGCTTTTTTTTGCATTTTTCTTGTCTCATTATGAGTCATCTCCTAAATTTGCTTCTCCTAGATTTCAATGCTCACCAAAGAACACAATAATAAAAATCAATGTTCATAATCTCCTTAACATATCATCATCTGAATTATCTTACTTATACCTTCATAGTGTCTCAGTGTATTTTACATTGAGTTTGACTAGTTTCCCAATGTGAATAAAACTTCCACAGAAAATGTACAGGTTCAATTAAAAATGTTAGTGTGTTGATACCTTCCCAGCAATTGAACTTACACAACTACTTGATGTTATGCAATGACTTTTGGTCATCATAAGCCATATAACTAAACCACCCTTTTCTCTTGTTTGGCAGATGAGAAAAATAAGGTATTGTAAGGGTTAAGTGACTTATTCGAAGTCATCTCAAGTAATCTGTGCAGACACTTAGAGATTCTTATTGTTCAGATCTGTACTGAGGTCCTTGCAAGAACATTCACCTCTTCTTTTCACCTCTCTAGTGAAAGGTTTGTTTCAAATTTTTCATCTGTAAAATGGGTATCAATTTCTCAAATCAAATAGTAAGAGAATAATTTGTGACAACCCATTCAGTTCCTCAGAGATGGACTAGAGAAGAAAAATGAGATATCATATTGGAAAGCTTACTTAGTGTTAAGGAGAAAATCTAAATTTAAAATGAGAGCTTTATGTTTTTATAGCTTCGGTAGTATGTATTACTAGAAAGTCATTCAGTACAGAAGCAAGTTATTCAGCTTGTTTATAAAATAGTTAAGAAAAAATTGCTAGCAACTTCATTGCAAAGCAAAAGGTTAAGACAAATCTAGTTAACTCATAATCAATCCTTTGAAATACCCAGGATAAAATAGAAATATCTTAATGATTATTACTTACTGCTTTGAATCATACCTATGCTTTCTCAAGATACAAGCAGTGTGTGTGTGTGTGTGTGTGTGTGTGTGTGTGTGTGTGTTTTCATGGCATGGAGAGAAAAGACAACTATTATCCCTCTATCATCTTCAGATATTTTTCTCTGGGCATGATATTTTTAATCATCCATTAGAATTATGTCTATAGAGGGCAGTGCACATCTCAAATAACTCTAAATACTTAAAATACATTCAGAAACATATAAACTTTTGCAAGCATCTTTCATTGTATTATAAAACCACCAAACACACATTTTTAATTATTTTTGTTATGGAAACAAAATATTTCCAAGTAGTATTTAGTAGATGGTAGATTTCAAATTAAACTAAAAATGTGCCCATAACATATATCCAAATATTTTATAAACTCTGAATGGTTTAAATTTTTACAATCAAACCAGGTCTTGAATAGCAAAAAAGGACATATGCACAATACCAGATCCAATAAACAGAAACAAGCACTAGTTACACTGTCCAGACATTTTCATTTTATGTATTTAACACATATCTCTAGTGATGGTTGTACAACCCTGAATATGCTGAAAACCACTGAATTGTATACCTTAAAAAGAATTTTATGGTGTATGAATTAAATCTCAATGAAACTTATTTTAAAGAACACATCTAGCTAAATATTCTGTAGGAAATAATATATGACTTTTTTCCTTGCTAGCACCATATTCTAGAGTAGATAAAAAGTGAAATAAAATATTAATTGCAGCTCAGATAAAGTTATGCTTTCTGTTCAGGGTAGGATATCTTTGTGCTGTAATTACAAGCCTTAAATTCTGATTTCAAAGATTTGTGTGAAATTCCCACTGAAACCAGTGACCATTATAGTACAAAGCTCACGTATAATTTGGCACATTCTGTCGTATATTTGTATTTTTAAAGGATTCTTTGTTACAACTTTCATCTGTTTTTGTTTAACTGACAAAAAGATCAGGTAAAATTCATGATATTTATTTTAAGAAAAATCTGGATACAAAGATGAAAATTACCCCAGTACAGCAATACAGATTTGCACTCACTAAGAGTTTTCGAAAATATATTGTACGCACTCTCCATTTGGATTTTTAAAGAAGGAGTCATTAGAAGACTCATCCTTTTCTGGAAAAATGTCTCTGATCGTATCAAAGAATCTTAGAGTCAGAAGCACTTTAGTCATAATCTGGTTAAATCCAATGCCGTCCTTGATGAAGTAATAGACACCCAAAGAGGTTAAGTAATTTACCCAAGGTCACACAGGAAGTTAGTGAAAGAGCTAGGTCAAGAATATGTCTCCTAATACCCTAACCAAAGTTTTTCATTCTCTTATTCCCTAGACAACTATCATCTGGGAAAAATTAAAATTTGTTAAGCATGTCCAGTTGAAAAAAAATTGTATTCATCACAACCCCACATACAGCAGGTGCTTAAGAAGTATTTTTAAATTATGAATTATCTTCCATCTATGTTTACTAGTTTTTTTTACACAATGGTTTTGTGAGATATTTTGTAATTCATCTCATAATGAAGAAAGTTGGACAGGGAAGGAGTTATGGAAAAGGTCAAACAGCAGCCACATCTCTTTCCAAATTCCATTGTGCCTCATGAAATCTCAAGAGAGTTTCAAAAATCGGTCATGTGATGGAGCCATGAAATGAACATGATTGTGCTCTGCTAGAGAGTGTAAACTGAAACAATCGGCCTTGAAAACACACAATTTCTATCAAAAGCCCTTAACATGTTCTTATAAATTGATCTAATAATTCTATGTCTGGTAGCCAATTACATAAATATAAACCAAGATGCAGAGATACAAGTTTTCAGAGAAATGTTCCTTGCAGTAGTACTCATGACAAAGTGATAAACATCCACATAGCTGAGAATACCACAGTATATTCATTTGAAAATTACCACTGGAGGCTGATAAAATGAAATTGAGAAGAATTTAACACAAAACATATTTTATGTGATATAGTGTGAAGTTTAAGAAACAGAATATAGAATTGTATATATGGTATTTTTTAAAAAATATAAAAACCCATGCACAGAAAAATATACTGGTTGTCTTTAGGTAGTAAAACTATGGGCGATTTTTCTTATGTTATCCATGTTTTTAATGAAAAATATGTATTGCTTTTATAGTAGAAAAATATCTAACATTATTAAAAATAAGTATTTTTAAAACAAACATAATATGAGTCAACTGATCAAAAATAAATCCAGAAAATATTATTAGAATCTACCATTGGAATAAAGTATGCCCTAACACTGCATCATATTATCCGATGCCGTCATTTCTGATGTTGTTGCCTCGTGCTTTTTTTTTTTACAGAATCACACAATTAGTAGCTAACAATATATATTGTCCTTTGAGAGTCTAAAGAATATCATTCACTCTAGAGCTTATAAATATTTCACTCAATTGATTTGTTTGATCAGACCACACCAATTAAAAGCAAACAGCTACATCTTGCAACCTTCATTCAGGTGAAGGGGCTCCTCTAGCTGCCTCCTGCCAGCGTTCCTACTTTCAGTCAGTCGCCGTTTTCCTACACATGGTGAAGTCATGTTATCTCTTTGGACTATACCAGCATCTAAACTCACACAAAAGCACCAGGGGCTGTAATCCCTCATTCCACAAAACCCCGAGTTAACCAAAGTTGTCACACATAGATCTGGAAAGATGGCAAACTCTTTAAAGTTAATAGCAACTGTCTAAAAGCATAACAAAACGAAACAAAAAAAAAAAAAAAAAAAACAGGTCCTAGTGAACTATTAAGAGGAAATTTTCATTTAAAGATGAGACTTTGTGAAGGGGGATTTCCCCCTGTTGCTTACACTTCGAAATAACAAGGCCGGCTAGAAGAACCCTGTCTTCCTGTCAGCATGATTCACAGTCCAGCATCTGAAAGGAAGATGAGCCTTTCCTGACTAGATCTTCAGGAAGACAACCACAAAAGCATACTGACAACCTGTGCTTCTGCTGTCAGAGATCTGCACATCAATCAATAAGACTCCATATGGCATCTGTTTTCAGTGATCATGTCACTTACCATCAACATCACATTAAATCCTTGCGGTAAAAAAGAGTTCTTTTCCCTGTATTCACAAGCGAGTGATCTCTGAGTTCCTCCATCCCCAGGCCTCTCGCTTGGGGAAGAGAGCACAGCGCAACAGTGTCTCCTGCCGCCTGTTAGCGAGGTGACATGCATGCAGGGAGGGGCTCTCCCTCCTGAAAAGGAATGAAGACTTAATCCTCCACCGTACTTGACTTCATTCCAGTGTCTGCTTTCTCCACAGTCAGTTAAGATGGGCTTTGAATTTGACATTGTTCATTTCAAAGTATAAGAATACCACGATCTCTGGTTTTAGAACTCTTCTATCATTTAGCAACTTCTCATATCCTTTTGATTTGTCACATGTTCACTTCCATGCTGGCCTGCTCATCACCCCTGCCTTCGCCTCAAAAAAGCAACACAAGATAGCTAGTTAAACCTGGAGTATGGGGCTGGGTGCGGTGGCTCACGTCTGTAATTCCAGCACTTTGGAAGGCCGAGGTGGGCAGATCACAAGGTCAGGAGTTCGAGACCAGCCTGGCCAACATAGTGAAACCCCATCTCTACTAGAAAAAAAAAATTAGCCGGGCTTGGTGGCAGGCACCTGTAGTCCCAGCTACTCGGAAGGCTGAGGCAGGAGAACTGCTTGAACCCAGGAGGCGAAGGTTGCAGTGAACTGAGATCGCACCACTGCACTCCAGCTGGGTGACAGAGCAAGACTCTGTCTCAAAAAAAAGAAAAAAAAATCTGGAGTACAGTTACATCAACAGAAGAGTCTGAATTTGAATGCCAGAAAGAAAATGACTGGTGTCAGGATATATCCTCGCTGTTTTACAGGTTTTGGCATAGCATGCAGGGGGATGTCATGCTGGAGGCGTGCCACTAAAACCCACATGAGTGCAAGTTGACTTTTTAGTATTTGTTCAGATCCTCCATGGAAGAAAAATGCATGTCTGGGAGCAATCACACTCAAGCATATATCTTCCTCTGATGCAATTTCGTGAATCCAGTGATAAAAAGAAGTTGTGACTTTTGACATTACTGAATCAATTCCGAGGTACTGTTTGAATCAATCAGGTTACTTCTTCCTCTAAAATAAATTCAGTATGTTTACCCTGTTACCATATGTCAAAAGAATGCATTTGGAAATCTCATGAATTAGCTCATTTATTTAAAAAAAAAAAAAAAGCAGGGAGGGAGAACTCATGTAGAAAACTGCATCATGTTTGCCCCCAAATTTCTGGTCATTATCCTGGGGATTTGCTCCTGAGGAATGCCTGGTTTTTATTGTCTCTTGGTTTGGGAATATTTGACAAGCAAGATTGCACCTATCTTAGATGCTAATGAAACGGCCTTTGAGTGCAAGGAAGAGCAACTCCCTCCTCTAGTCTCAGACCAGCTACAGTGCTAAGGTCGTTTGGATATAAGATGAAATCATAGTCTGTTAAGGCCTCCCATTTCTTAAGAAGCAAAAGAGCCCATTGCTCTAAGATTGATCTGACTTTCCACCTCTCTACGCTGATCTGTAGCAATTATTGTTTATTTTGGCCTGTAATCATAGCCAGTCTTGAATTGTTCCCTAATTGTTCCAGAAGTACCTCTCTTGCCTCTGGAACACGACTGATTTAAGGGTATCTAAAACTTGCCACAGTCCCTCCAGCCCATGTACCCTCATTGAAATGATTTGAAATTTCTCTTTGTCTTAGAAATCTCAGTGACAACACATACATTTTAAAAAGTGTTGTAAGAATCAGTTTATTAATATTTGTGCAGCACTTCAGAAATTTAAAGCCTTAAAACACTGTAGCTGTATAGCAACTTAGTAAGATAATTAACCAACCACTTCTAACTTGAAACTGTGTAAGTATGAACATGTTTTACTTCTGAGTATTTTATTCTTTCTTCCTTTTATTGGCTTAAGCATAATACTATACATTCTGATGACTCAATTTGAATGAAAGAAAAAGAGACGTTTTTAGTTTGAATAAGAATTACCTTACCAGTTAGCAGTATTATTTTCTCTAAAGATACAGAATGTTTTTCATTTTAATCCACCATTTTTAATGCCCTGAGCAGAAAGACTATTAAAGGTAAACACATGAATGTATCCCCTAGTTTAGGAAGGCATTTGATCTCAGGCTTTGTTTTGCATTTGAACCAGGATACTCTTTAACATGACAGTCAGCCCCTCCCAGAGTGAAAACAGACTATTGATTTCTCTTATACACAGTTAAACTTTCCATTATGTGTCCTATTAATAATCATATTTGCCTTTGTGGTGTGTACTGGTTCCTGATCTCTGAGCTCAGACCTCTCTAAATAATCCTCTCTAAACTACATAACCTTTGAGATCTATTCCCCAAAGACCTGTTGGAAGAAATTTCCCACCATGTTTATAACATTCCATGACCCAAGCATACAGTGAGAATATAAATTTGTCTTAAAGCAAAAATTAGAATAAAATAATAATTAGAAGCCTGTTAAAATTTACAAAATGTTTAAATGTATTTACTGATTATTTTTCTGGCAAGATGTGGTGTTTAAACCATAAAGAACTCTTAGCCTAAACTGTTTTGAAGACAAGAAAGTAACAAATAAGTGAAACCATAATTTCAAATCAATAATAGAAAACAATGTAATCCCAGCGCTTTGGAAGGCCGAGGCAGGCAGATTACTTGAGGTCAGGAGTTCGCGACCAGCCTGACCAACATGAAGAAACCCCATCTCTACTAAAAATATGAAAAAATTAGCCAGGCGTGGTGGTGGGTGCCAGTAATCCCAGCTACTCAGGAGGCTGAGGCAGGAGAATCACTTGAACCCGGGAGGTGGAAGTTGCAGTTGGCCGAGATTGTGCCATTGCACTCCAGCCTGGGCCACAAGAAACTCCATCTCAAAAAAAAAAGAAAAAAGAAAACAATAGAGAAAATCATTTGAAATAAAGGATTATTTTCTTTAAAAAAAGTATGAAATTTCATTTACTTTGCTGAATATTAGTTTTAATGCTATCATGAATATTACTCTTAGGGGAGAGTTCATTCCATCTTTGCAACCTCAGTGCTTAACACAATGTCTACAACAATGAAGGCCCTCAATAAATACTTAACAAATGAGTGAGAAAATGAATGAATGAATGGTTAAATGGCCCACATACCTTACCACTGATGTTCAGTTTACAGATGTACTTGAAACAAATATCTAGAAGGCAAACAAATAAGCAGAAACCAAACATCTTTCACCTGGATTCCTTGAAACTAACCCTGGAACTCATTTGAGAGTATTTGAGAGGAGGCTCAGTTGGAGACATTATTATGGAAGAGGGAGAAAGGCCGAATCCAGATACTTGGATGGCTCAAAGTAGAGTCTTAGAGAGGTTAAAGTTGGTGGACTTCATTGCCAATAATCCTTAACTTTTTGTTCTGAATTACTTCTAATATTATTTCACAAATTCATTCAGGTCTATATTTATGCAAATAATATTTACAGGTAAAGGATCATCTTTTTTCTCTAAAGTGTATTTAATTTTTAAAATCATAGCCACAGGGGAAGCTAATTTTCTTGCTGAGAGAGAATACATTCGGACTTCTCATTGGGATCAGGGTCCACAAGATGCCCAGAAGTATGTTTGTTGAGGGCAGTACAGAAAATCTTGGCGTATGTTATCCATTTGGGAACAAGCACACATATCTACATTGACATGGGGCAATTTGTTAGACCCAGAGGCAAGATTCTAAATGATGTACTATGAACAAGGCAAAAATAAGAAAATGGTTTAAAAAGCACATCATTAGATTCAGAATACAAATACCACCCCCAACTAGTTTAAACAGAAAACACACCACCTTGTGGAATGAAAGATAAATGCTTTACTATGTTCTGCCACTTATGAATGATGTCATCACTGTGATTACATGAAGAAGAAACTTCTTAGCTCCAGATGGTCACCATTCCCTGTCGCTGGTAGCCCTGGTATTCATAAGTAAGCATAATTTTTGTTGAATTCAATTGTCTAAAAGCACACTGCCTTTTTTCACTGATATGAGAGCATGAGTACACTGTTTTATGACTCTCTCAGTCTTTGTTAATGGTGTTTCTATAGGATTTATTCTTTTAGTAACCACTAGCTTTGCCGAGATAACCAGATAGACTTTTTAATTTTTTTTTTTTTTTTAGAGACAGGCTCTTGCTTTTTTGCCCAGCCTGGAGTGTAGTGGCATGTTCACAGCTCATTGCAAACTTGAACTCCTGGGCTCAAGCAATCCTCCTGTCTAAGCCTCCCAAGTAGCTGGGACTACAGGCACGTGCTACCAGGCCCCATCTCCAACAACGGGGATTACATTTCAACATGAGATTTGGAGGAGACAAATATCCAAACCATATCACCCAGATAATTTTTTTATTCTTATGTTTTGGAACAATGGGGTGCTGCTATGTTGCCCAGGCTGCTCTTGAACTCCTGGCCTCAAGTGATCCTCATGCCTTGGCCTCCCAAAGTGCTGGGATTACAGGCTTGGGCCACTGTGCATGGCCCAGAATAGACTTTTAGAAATCTCTTTTCTATTAGTTTCTAAGACTGGTCGGAGATTTTTGTCAATGTTTATTCAACTTTATGGCATTCAAACAAAGACACCGTTTTTACTTCCTACATGTTTGATATTAGGTACCAACTAATTATTATGGAAAGAAAAGAGTCAGTAATTCTTGTGTGTTAACATTCATATACTAACTACATAACTCAACCCTAACTATTCCCAAGATACTACAGAGTTTAGAAACCATGTGGTTCAACACCTTCATTTTTAAAATTAGGAAATTGAGGCCTAGAAAGGTTAAGCAAATCATCTAAAGTTACACTATCAGTAAATGGCTAAGACCAGATTCAAGGCCTTCTATACATCCTATTGCATTTTCTACTGTACGACACAATATTGCTTAGAAGCAGAGTGAATTTTAAATGGACTTTCCAGACGGTAAATTCATTATGTTTAGCAAGCAACTATGCTACTTACTCAAAAGCTACTAATCCCTCATTATTTTTATATTTCACATCTTAAAGATGATGCTAAAGTTTCACTCTGATGTAAATAAAGCTATTTTATTCACTTCCTAAATGTGACATTTTAA